CGTCATGAACCTAAATGTCTCGGCCTCCCAGAGTGTGAGGATTACAAGTGTGAGCCACCATACCCCAGCCTTTGGCTAAATCTTTTAAAGCAAATTACTTACCTTTTTCAGGCTTCATTTCTTCATCTGAAAAATGGGAATACCAACATTTACCCTCACAGGATTATTGAGACGATAATAAACAATAATCTAAATCAAGCTTCTATCAAAACCTGGCATAAAGTAGGCAATCAACAAATGGAAGTTTCTTACTTTCTCCCCAGGCTCCTCTTAACAATTATTTATTTCTATCTCTCTTGGTGGATTATGAGCTCCTGGTAGGCAGAGACCATTTCTTATTATTGCTGTATCCCCTCAGCATCTGGCACATAAAATATGTTTAATACATGTTTATTAGATGAATAAAGGGTCAGATAGCTCCACAATGTGAGGAAATCTTATTTCCTTTTGTCCAAACCAATCCTGGCCCTCAGACTGGCTTCCTCAAGAGAGGAGTGGTCTGATCACAAATGGAACAGTGAGCAATGACATCTGTCAATACCACATTGGAAAAACACCTGAGAGAAAGCATAACTTCTGCTGAGTGAGAATAAGAAGCATCATTAGCTAGATAGTCTTTGTCCCATGGAGAAGGAAACACTGTGTGATTGACTTCTACTCATTTGGCCTTCTCAGGGAGACAGAAGCAGAAATAATGCTTTTAAGAAGCAGCCAGGCTCTCTGCAGCCTTCATGTGCTTCCTTGTCAGCTGCACTGCTATTGCGCTACTGTCAACGTTCCTTTGTATAAGACAGGCACTGGCAGGGTTTCATTTCTTTGCAATGCCCCATCCAGTTTTTCCTAAGCCCTGGATCAACTGAGAAGGTCCCTGAGCGAGGTGAAGGCTTAGGAATTTCAGACTCTATACATCATCTGGTCACAGAGCTCTGTCTCCTCAGGCTCCTATTTTAAAGGCTGGGCCTATTACTATCTGGGGGAATGCAGGCTTTCTTGATATTCCAGTGCCTTTACTAAAGGCAGTGATGTGAGAGGAGGGGCGAGTGTCTGAAAAAATTCACACCAAGATGCCTTTGCTAAGGAAGATCACTAAAATGGCATTTTGACGGAAGTTCTTATGGGAGCTGGAACGGCACTAGACAAATGCAGAGCCAATCCAAGCATCTGCCCTTCCCATACCTCAGTTTCAAGCAAACAAAGTCAGCTTGATTCAGAATGAAATCCAAACCACATGCATGTACCCCACCCAAGGCAGTCTCATTCATTCTTGCCAATTAAAAAAATATATATATAGTTGAGCTGGCTTTCCCTCAGCTCCAAAACAGACTGGGCTAACCCCCATCTTCCTCCTAGAGAAGAACGGCTTCAGCTACTATTTGTGTCACTGTGTGTTCATGCAGCTTGCAAAACTCCTAATACCCCAGAGACTGCAGAAGTAATCTGTACCCTGAACTTGGACCTGGGGGCTTACAGCACAATTAAATGTGTACCAGGGTGGACAAGTCAGCCAGAATCTCTGTGAGTGAATGTTTGTTTTACTTCTCTTTGGGAAGAAAAGGGGGAGGGGGCAAGTCAGGTAGATAAAGACTATTGGCACATTTGAGGCTTCAAGAAAGTCAAGCTACATGGAACAGCTCATGTAATTACAGGCACATTCCCCGACCCAAGATACTGCTCTGTGAACCTCCCACTTTACACAGAGAATTCTGCTCTGTCATTCCATCTGCAGTTTTTGCTGCAGCCCTTCCTGCCACCCTTCCCACAGATTTCTTTTGAAGGAGGAGGAGGAGGAGGAGGGAACCTAAAAGGGGGTGTAGATAAAGAAGGTTGAGGGGAAGAATCTATACCAAAAAGGAGCCTCTCTTTGGGGAGGGATACATTTTTGCATTACCTAGGGAAGGCAGATGGGGGAGAAACAGGAACATGGTAGGAGAAGGAAACTAAATAAAGAGCACCAACGACCCCTGAGGGCAAAGCACAGGCTCTCCGAGGCACTCACTCAGGCTGCCCAGCTGTCGGATGACATTTGCCAGGGAGATGTTGGTCATGCATTCCAGCTCGCTGCTTCTAACGCTAGGCAACGTCTGACGGCACAGGTGCCTTGGCTCGATGCTCCTCGTTACTAACGGCATGGTGGACCTGCTTCAGGCAATGTTCTGAATGATGAAAAACAACCTAAAAAAGAAATAACAGGAAAGTATTACTAAACCACAAATTCCAGGCACACTAGGGCTGTGTGACGGGTTTTTTTTTTTTTTGTCTTGCTTTGATCTAAAACAGTTTATTTTAAATCTTCACTCCTCCTATATTTTTTTTTCATTTTTAAGTCCTCTCCCACCCCTTTTTAAGGTTTGTAATATATTAGAAGACTTTCTATGTACGTTTAGAAATTCTGAATTGGTGACTGCTGACTGAGGTACACAGGCAGCAAAAAAACCTTAAAGTGACAACTATTGCTCCAACCAACGAGAGGCCCTAGAGACAAAAAGGCATGGTTAAAAAAACATCCCACTCAGCAGGCATTGGATGGTACAGATCCTATCCTTGGGGTGTCCATAACCAGGACGGATCATCATCTAGGCCACCAATTAAAAGGATCAAAAAGAGGTTTGGGCTTGGCGCCTGTAGCTTAAGTGGCTAGGCGCCAGCCATGTAACGAGAGCTGGTGGGTTTGAAACCAGCCTGGGCCCGCCAAACAACAATAACAACTATAACCAAAAAATAGCCGGGTGTTATGGTGGGTGCCTGTAGTCCCAGCTACTTGGGAGGCTGAGGCAAGAGGATCACTTGAGCCCAAAAATTTGAGGTTGTTGTGAGCTGTGACGCCATAGCACTCTACCAAGAGCAACAGCTTGAGACTCTGTCTCAAAAAACAGAGAAAAAAACAAAAACAAAACCAGGTTCGGTCATCTAATTATCTCCACAATGAAATCAAGCTGCCAATGGTGACTCCATTGATAAACACCAGGACCTAACTTTGCCAGTTATTCCTTGGTGGATGATTGTTAATGTATAACTAAATACTAATTAATACCAGTATCTACTAAGATCAATCTGTAAATTGACAATGAAAAAAAAAAAAGAAAAATTTTACATGTTCAGTTTGTCAAATATGCTGAGTAAACTGTGCTCTAAGATTCCTCGTCCTTTCTCTTCTATCTCACAGCTCCCTTTCTCTCTCCCATCTGGTTCAACACACCTGAGCCAAAGGCTCTAGAGACAGCAGGAAATGTCTGGAGCAGATCCGGAAACCTTCCAGATACTGTTTCTTATCCAGTTCTTACATTCTTACCCAGTCTGACTGAGCCCCTTTCCCCAGGAAATACCCCAGTACTTCAGGTTCATGCTGAGCTACTGTTTTAGATTTAGATTACCAAATTTCTAGCTTTCTGAGGACAGGAAGAAATTTTTATCTCCATAAAATGGATATGACTACAGCAAAGGCAGGCTGGGATGGTCTTGTTTCCATATCTTGTGAAATTAAAGACATCTAAAGTGGACTAATGGTTTTCATGCTAGGGAAAATGGCAAATTTGCTTCACATGAAAAGGTAAAGCATAAAGATAACACATCCAAGTCCCCAATATTATCAACTTCTCTTTTAAAAAAAGCAAAATAGAGGTTACTTACATCAAATCTTAAAACACCAGCTCATCACCAAAAGTTGCTTGTGAATATAAAAATGCTTAAATCAAACTAAACATCATAGATCTTAAAAGCAAACCAACGCATTGTCTGACCAAAAGAATAAAAAAAAAAAAAAAAAGACCTCAGGCTTAAAGGTGGAGTAGAACCCTTTGGAACAGACTGCTCCTTGTTATGGACATTCTGATCTGCTACAAGTAAAAATAAAACAGGAAGCCAGCAGCTTGGGGAACAAGATTTCCTGTCACCAACAGTAACAGCCCAAGAATCAGCTGTTTGCTTATAACTTTGAACCTCCCCTTAATAGTCACTGTGTGGCAGCTGTGCCTATCTTTGGGGTGCAGAGGTGTTTCCTGAATACTTGTCTACTGTCTAAGGAAATGATTTCCATTCCATTCCTCTGCTAAGTTCTCCCTTTAACTCAACAGGTTTTCTAATCCAAACTCTGGACTTCCCAGTTTGCTTTTTACTAATGTAAAGGGTATTAGGTACTAAGACGCAATCTTTAGTAACACAGTAAAAAGAGTTTTAGAATAGGAAGGAGGCAGGAAGTTAAAAGAACATGGCAGGACTCTGTATACCATCCACTAGATGCTCTTAGATTCTCAAATCTTAAACTTTTTGGAATAACCAGATATTTGGGATATAGGTAGGAACACCTGAAACTATTGTGGCTCCCCTTCCATTAGTAATCATTTGAGTACTTCTAACTTCTCAGAGGAGCTAGAAGAGTCAGACCACCTTGAAATTCTGTGTTGAATGTAACCATCTATAGGGCATTCCAAACTTTCCCTCTAGATATCTAATGGAAATTAGATTCCAGGTGGCTAGGTAAATGTCAGAAGAGGGTGGGGAAGTAAATACTAACACCTTGGTTATGCCTTAAGCATTTATGCCTTTCCAAGTGCCTTGGGTAAGCAGACACAAATGGAATTAATTCCGTCATTCTGGTGAGGTTTACCTGGAACCAAGTTTTTAAAAGCAAGATGGCCTCCTTTTGCTAAAAAAGCCAGTTCCCATAACAACGGGAGAGTTTTCATGAAATATTAATACAGGGTGGCACCTGTGGCTCAAAAGGGTAGGGTGCCGGCCCCATATGCCGGAGGTGGCGGGTTCAAACCCAGGCCCAGCCCAAAGAAATATTAATATATTGGCTGGGGACAGTGGCTCATACCTGTAATCCTAGAACTCTAGGAGGCCAAGGTGGGTGGATTGCTTGAGCTCAGGAGTTCAAAGACCAGCCTGAGCAAAAGAGTGAGACCCTGTTTTTAAAAAAAAAACAGTCAGGTGTTGTGGCAGGCACCTATACTCCCAGCTACTTGGGAGGCAGAGGCCAGAGGATTACCTGAGCCCCTGAGTTTGAGATTGCTATTATCTATGACACCACAACATTCTACCAAGGGTAACAAAGTAAAACTATGTAAAAAAAAAAAAAAAAAAAAGGAGAAAAAAAGAAAAAAAAAAAAAAAAAAGGGAGGAAAGAGAGAGAGAGAAGAAAGAAAATAATATGTCGATATCCATTAAGGCAAAACAATTATAAAAGTGTATGTTTTGGGGGGAGGGAGAGGGATTCGAGGGTTCACTTCTGTGGTTCATCTTGCAAGGGTACAAGTGAATCTTTCTATGAGTAGAATATGAATGTTTTGA